AACAAGCTAAGTTACTAAAAGTAGTAAAAACATGTCTGCTTTTAGCACACACACAGAAGAGACATCTAGCAGACCGTGAGGAGATCTTCGCTGAATTTGACTATATAATTTGACTGTGTAATGGATTCCAATCACATACCACACCTTTAAGACGACCCTTCACAGACCAAGAGTGGCTAAAACTCACGATTCACTGAACAATCCCTTTCTACCCAAAGTTTCAAACAGACAGGGCTGCATTTGCAAGTGTTAATGAAAGAGTCCTGCCCTCGCTAAAGGAATGCTAATGCATCGAGCCGAACCTACATTTACATTTATTAATTTGGTAGATCTGGCAGTCATTCCTGATTCTTTGTCCACGGGGTCACACCTCAGTTACAAGACAACAATGCATGTCAGCCTGCATTCTTTACAACAGCAAAAAGTAAACGGATTTTAAATAAGGTTGTTCTGAACTGGGTATCACCTCTGACACCTCAAATGGAACAACTGTATACATGATCCAGGATAGGTTAAACTCATCCAAGAGGCTTCTTCAGTTCTGACTGACTGGCAAGGAATTTCAGCTTTTTAACCTCTGTGGGGTTGTTATCAATGACTATTATATGTGAGTTAATTCTCGCCAACTCATTTGTGTACATCATCTCCTTATCTCAGCGTAAACAGCCTCTTGTAGAAAAAAAATCTTTATATTGACACCAAAGCAAAAACAGAAATTAATTGTTTTATACCTGTACCACCCTACGCCTACATCAAAATCTACATGCTCAAAGGTTGGGCCTTAGTGCAATTTATACTTATGCGTACTTACTCGTTTCACTATCAGAATGTGATCCATTCGGTCAATAACATTTGAAAAGTCTAACAACTGCAAGTATACAATTTTACCCCCATTCAAGTTAGCCGAGGGCTAAACCGGAAGTTAGCCTGCTCGGCCGGCAAAAGTCAACACAGCGCTACCGCTAACTAGCGTGTGGCGGTGTAATTGCACAACGCCTGAGATACCAACACTATAGGGCACGTTGCCCCGACGCAGGAGCATAAATCTCACTTTAGTCTACACCAAACAGCAGTGAAGTCTAGTTTTCAACTGTAAAATGTTGGGCTAAGGTGCCCTGATCCAAAATGTTTGTTCATGTCAGTAAAAAAAAAGAAAAACCACTATCTGACGCTAAATTGTGATACTAAATTGTACAGATATCTGCCACAAACTACCATACCTGGTCAGGTTATGGATAATTTTGAATGTTCCCTTCTTAGCAAAATGCAAAAACCTTTGACTTATTAAGAGGCTGGTTAGCTTCTCAAGATAATAAAGATCTGTGCTTGGTGTGTTCATGTGCCATGTCTTCAGCCGTGCTTAGGAGGAGCTGCGACAGCTCTTTTACTCAGAGCATTCTCGTTTGCAGCTAATTGGATTTTGCTACCACCAATACTGCTGTGAGAATCTGCTAAAAAAAACTAATGTTTGCATTGCTTTTCTCTGCATCCATGACATTTTCCCATCTGACTGAATGAATTAAAGACTATGTTTAAGAACTTTGGGTAAAGAATTAAGCAGAGAGGTTCTGCTTATAAAAAGACACTGGGACTCTTGTTCTGTGGCAACACTACTGCTAGCATTTATCGCTAATTCACCATAAACTCCCTCCGGGGCAGAAATAATCAAGACATTTAACTGTTCATAGGGACTGAGTCTACTTTTTTGGGAAATTATTCTGATTCTGACCCATACACCTTCAAAATATACCGAAAAGTTGTGCTGAACCCAATTTAGGTTTACTTAAACACAACATGGCAGTCAAAAGAATAAAGGCATTTGCTCATGATGGACCTACTCTGACTGTTTCTGTTCTACTGCACCTCAAATTCCAACATTGAGAGAAACATAAAAAAACACATACTGCAGCAAATTCAATACATCTTCACTGCTGCACAAAAAGTGTCACTTGACTGATCACAAACTGAGTAGTGATTAAGCTAAATTCCAGAAATGTAAAAGTCAAACCAGCTTCAATGGAAGGTCAACTCATAACCAGAAGCTAATATGTCTCACCCCAGTCCTCAAGGATATGAACAGGGAATGAAATTCTGTTTGGTCGCAACTTCAAGGTACCCTGTGGAGTGTTTCAACCAAAGTAGCACTATGAAGCAATGTTTTACAGTTTTATTTGTATTGTGCACAAGCGCACGGCCAACTTGATGCACATTGTTTATGTCCGTTTCAGGTGGCATCACATAAGTGGCCTAGAAGATTATTGGTTTGAAACTGCGCAATCAGTCTCATATTTCCAAAGGCCCCTCTGGACATAACTTCAGAGTATCAAAGACCAGGTCTAACAGGGCTGAAAATCTATTTTATGTCCTCAAACTGTTCAATGCTCATGATGAGTCAGCTGATTATCAGTCATCAATATAACAAGTGCTGGGTGGTCATGGTAATGATGTTTTAACCACTGATGACGTGGTTGGAGGGTGACAGCTGGATGCACTACAGGTTTTATGTTACGTTGGCACTTTATATACCCTTATGTGAATTTAATGTGGCAGATATTAGCCCACGTCTTCCACAGATTAATACCATGTGTTTTATGTGACGTTCAAGGCAAAAGTTCAGATCTCTGACAAAGAAAAGCAAGCTGGTGACGTGCTTGCCGCTGTATCTTTCGGGCTAAAATATTTCCCAAACAATCAACAGTAAACCTAGTCAGTAGCGGCGTGCCTGAAGCTGTTGCGAAAATGTGCAGCTTATTTGAAATCCAAATCCACCCTGCTCTTGCCACAATTTAAAGTCACATACAGCAACATACTCGTACTGGGATCCTAAAACAAGCTGCCTGGGCCATGTAAATCCATGTTCAGCCTTTCAGCTGGTGTTCTTATGCAGGATCTTGTTCAAGGACACACAAATTACACACAACTGATAAGAGAGCATGTTACCTGTCAAAGACTTGGTAGTCAACCAAAATGAAATGTCACAGGACACTGACTTTAAACTTAACCGTTAAAACAGTAAAACTTTCAAATATCCCTATATTTTAGGCTGCACTCACTTAAAGATTGAACAGATTTCCTTTTCCATGTTTGTGCCAACCAGACTGCTCCAGTAGACTTTAGATTCAGGGCACAGCATGTACCCTGAATCTAAGGTCTACATTAGTTTAAATGTGCTCCAGCAAAGCAAACAAAAAGTCAACACAAATCACTAACAGGCAGCGTTCATAATCATGATGTGCCAACTGCAAAACAGTGTCCAGGGGAAAAAAGCACACATGGCTGTGAGCGGGGACAGACACCACGTTGCCTTGACACAGAGCAGAGAGGGGAGATGTCTCCAAGTGCATCATCATTAATCACTTTACATATTTTGACAACCAGTCCTAAAGTTGAGAAACCCCTTATGTGTAATTGTATGACAAAACATTATTAACTGTCATTTTACACCTGGACCAGTGTGAGATCAAGCAGAAGCCATGATGACTCTCGCCTGCTGGATCCCATGCTAACGACAGCTAGCTGGGTGGACAAGCAGGCAGGAGCCGGGTTTGCACTGACAACACATACAGGACATGGCAGCCAGGTTATTACACACGAAACAACCGGACTGTCTCACGCAGGAAAGCCTCAAAATGATAACGGGTCTCTTCGTTTGCACCGAGCTGACGCAGTTAGCCAGCTAGCTAACTAGCTACCTAGCAGCGCCCATGCCTTTCTCTCGGGGAACACGTGGAGTGAACACGTGACGTCTCATAACAAACCTGCTCCTTTCTTTTTATGAGATTAAACGAGCAGATGGCTCACGCTCGGGTCGTGTTTCAGTGTCGAGAATCGATCTTTAGACAGGCTGAAAGCTGACATGTTTTACACGGGGTGGCTGGAAATGGACAGTAGCAACCGGGAAGCTAAGCTAAAGTCGGAGTGGGAAGGGCTTGGCGACGCACTAGGCCAAAAGAAGAGCCTGTGTGCTATTGTTAGCCGGCTAAGCAGCTATACAGCCGGCCAAGCTCGTGGCTTTTCTTCTAATGCGAGACATGCAATGCGAGACATGGGCGGATGTCTCATTAATGTCTGAGGTGGCTAAACGCTGAAATGTGCCTTGAAAACAAACGTATAGTAACCACAACTTTAAATATTTGGCAAGCAACAGGGAGTCAGCTGAGGTCGGACTGGCTGAGGCACACATTAAGGAAGGGAGGAAGGGCATGGTGTTGAAGCAGGCTAACATAATGACATTTCAGCTACTCTTTACCACTTCTAACTTTAAAAGCTTCTGCAGTTACATGCACGATGACACGGCTGAAAATAAGACCCCCCTCTTACACAAACACACACACACACACACAAAATGCAGGAAAGAAATGCACAAATAAACCCCAAAAGCTTGCTCCACTAAAAATGAAATAAAAATCAGTTTGTCTGGTGTGGTGACACAAGCACAGCAACTTTGCACAGTACCTGCACGACCCAACGTGTCCATAAAAGTGCAGCACACACAAGCAAAATGCTGTTTTCTCTATCTATTGACTTTGGGAACAGAAGCCCTTAATTGCACTTTAATCTCTTAAAATTATGATTAAGGAGAAGCAGAGACAAGATCATTTAATTTCAAACAGACCTACAGTAAAGGTAATAATGCTGTGTGATTAAAGGGGTTCAAGTCTTGTCCTCTATCACTGGAGCTTTTTAACTGCTCTTTTTAAGGGTGTGATCTCTTGTGCAACCGGCCACCTATGGGTCTGCCACCCTCAACTCCAGGAATAGCTTTCATGAGGAGGAGGAGGGAGGGATTTTACTCCAAATATAACCAGCTTGCATGGCGACCACAGACAGGGGCTTGTTTTTGCACCAACTTGGCTCTTTTTTCTTAGTTCAATAAATCCTATCTGACCCCGGTGACAGCTGCTGGGACAACCCGTGTGACCACACCTGAAAGGACAGACACAAACACCACACTGACACAGCCCAGTAAAATCATCTTGTAACTGAAGGAGGTTACAAACCGTGGTGTGCTTGTCCATTCACGCTGACCACGGTCACCGCATTCATATTCCTAGTCCACGGGTTCACCTTGGGCGGGGGAGCTTCTGTAAACTCCTTTTTGTGGCTGCTTTTAACACCTTCCTCGTTTTGCTTGTCGTCGCTGTCGCAACCCCCTTTGCCCTCCTCTGTCGCCTGTTTTGGGGTTTGCTCCTCCGTACCGGGGGTCCCTCCCTGCCCGGGGCTGCTGCCGCCGCTGCTGCTCCCCTGGTCGGCGACACCCGTCTGCCGCTTGGCCCCGTCGCCCCGGCCGCACTCCTCTTCCTCCGGCTCACCGCGGATCACTTTACCGTGCTCCTCCGCTTTAGCAAGCGGGTTGCCGGGCAGGAGAGTCTCCACCTGAGTGGCCATTTCCCACCGCCGTCTTTCTTCCCCCCTCAGGATTACCAGTCCTCCCCCCGGCCCGAATTCGCCTTCAATTTCAAGGAAATGTGAAGTTTTTCCGCGGAGTCTGCCGCTCCTCTGTCGCTCCCAGACCAAAAGAGCTTCAGTCTAAGCCGCAGAGTAGTCCGCGCTGGATTAAAACATGTATAAAAATAAAGAAACGTGTCCGAGGGCCTCTCAGGATTACAACCTTAACTCCACCACTAGCAGCAATATGGTTGATCCCCACCACGCGATAGAAGGGTGCGCGCACGTAGGACGTAGAGGGGGAGTAGCCATGTAAAGCCGGGAGCGCGCTTATGGGTCAGGTCGAGATGCTGCTTTCAAGTGTCGTCGTAAATGCTCTTGATTTTCAATGTCTAAAGTAAAGTGCCGCATTCAAGTGCTTTTCTTAACGAAATGTATTATGGATAAATATTGTTTTTTGTATTAAGCAGCGCACAGTAACTAAGTAGCCTACGTTTACTCAAGTAGCCTACTCGAGTAGCAGCTTCAATTGCTAATTACTTTACAAATTAGGATTTTAATACACATATCACATAAAGAGTTAAAAAAAAAATACGATGTTTTATCTATAAATGAAACTACCCAACAGTTTATACAAGTACAGTTGAAACAATTAGTTGATTGATTTGTGTACTTCGTCCTCCTCTAGTATGAAGTTAGCAGCTTCATTTAGTGTATTAAAGAGAAATCAACCAGCCCATTATTATGTTGCAACATGTATTTAATGAACCATTTTTATGCACATTTATTCTAGAGATATAGACGAAATCTACATATTGAATTAAAATGCAAATCACCATCTTAAAGATTAAATTAAAACATGAAATGTTAGCTTTGACATAGCATCCCTTTGAACTAAAATAAGGTCTTTAATGTGTGATTGATTAGATTATAGATTTCTTTGTCCTCTAGGAGGAGAAGGAGCCAGTGAAATACACAAAGGTCTGCATCACTGAAACACATGACAAGAAGACTATTCACAATCAGTCATGAATCAAACTTTAATAGCTAGCCACACATTAATCATATTTGATGTCTGTTTTCTTACACATGTTGCATTAAATTTTACGCATGACACCAGTGGTTAAAGAAATGTTTTTCAATATAATACTCAGACCAAAAAATTGTAAAACCACAATGTAAAAATAGCCAATTGAAAGTTGAAGTCCTGAATTCAAAAGTTTACAGCAACATCTGCTTTAAGCTTCAAAACTAAAAGTTAGTAAGAAAAATCAGTTTCAGTATGGTATATTCTTTTATAGATTACATCATTATTGATGCATTGACATGTAAGCAGCATATTAATGTGGTTGAGGTAGAGCTAGTTTTATTTATTTAACAGCTGTGTAGTTTAATCTATAAAAAGGCATCTTGTTTATTTGAAATATCTAAATCTGCAAGGTAACTCTTAGCTAAAGCTGTCAAATAAATGTAGTGGAACTGAAGCATAAAGTAGCATAAAATAGAAATACAAATACTACAAGTAACAAGTAAACTTAAAATCTTACTTAGGTAAACCAATAGGCTATTTACTGAAATCTAATCTACTACTTTTACCAGTCACACAGAAATTATGAAGATAAGTGTACAACTTGATTAATTAAATGTAGCCTTTCAAGCAAGAACACCTTTTGGATTTAATGTATATTACATTTATGTATTTCTGCAGAAGAGTGCATGTATAATAATATCACACAAGCAGTTGTGTTTACCTGTTCCTTTATTTTGCCTATTCGCTACATTTACTTACTTACTCAGCCAACATGAGTTGTTAACCTATGTATTTATTAAATAAATTAGATTTTACGACTGACGTAAATGCAGCGCAGATTCTCGATGACGTAGGTCTCCCCCGGACGTGTCAGAAAATCGCCGTTGCTTCATTAAATATCCGTCTAAAACAGTTTTTCTTTATGTACAGTCTATGGGTTTTCACTGTAAACGCCAGTTTATACAACTTTGTGATGCTGACATAACATTTGTTTGTCCCTCACTCGTGCATTTAATGTCACTCTGTTTTCTAAAATCTGTAAAAGAAAGTGGTAAAATGCACCTAAACGTCTCTTCACTGTTCCAACACGCTACACACGTGTCCATACCGGTGGTGCACGTGTGCAATATGGTCTGGGTCCAGTTTTCCATCATTGCCCCAAAACAAACTAAGTTTGTTTAAATTGTGTTGAGTCCGTTTCTGTTGTGTTGGATTGTGTTAGTGTGACTGTGTGTTATGTGTGTAGTGACATCCAACATGTGGCTCAACCTTAAAGGGACATTTCCAGTCTATGTGGTTGGTTATACAAGAATCAGCAAAGTCAAACTTTGTGTGTGTGTGTGTGTGAGAGAGAGAGAGATTGAAAGTGTATTTATGTTTGAGAGGGAAGTTACGGTTTCTGCTGAATGAAAAAGAAATTAAGCTTCACATGTTGTGCCTCTGTAGTCACTTTTGCTTTTATTCAGTGGTGGAAGAAGTACTCAGATCTATTTTTACAATAGCCTAAGTAAAAGTAGAAATACAAGTCCAGCAGTCAAAACCTTACTGCATCAAAATATACTTATATATATACCGAAAGTGAAACTACTTTTAATGCAGACTGGCCCATTTCATAGTGATGCAATAATGTGTAGGCATCACTAATGTAACTAATGACAGATGAAATGCTGAATAGAAGTAGTAGTTAATACATAAAAATGTATTTGTTAATTTATATGTCAAATTAATAATAACTAATCACTAATGTTGTCAAATAAATGTTGTGGAGTAAAAAGTACAATATTGGCTTCCGAAAAAGCAGTGGAGTAGTAGTAGTGGATGGTGCTGATGACCTTCTGCATGTATGAACAGAGCCTGGAGCTGCATGCTGCTGTGAAACCAGCCTGCTTCTGGATAAAAAAAAATATCATTCATTGTTTTTTGTTAATGAATTTTTTAAACTGTGCAGTTAGGCTTTTAAATCGGTTAGGGTGTCTGTATGTCATTTCCCAACCCTTTAAAGCCTATTTTGTTCAAGTAAAAACATGGTTATCCTGTTTGTACATGCTGAGTAAATTCTTACTGTCTTCTTGCTTTAGCTTGTCAAGTGTTGATTGGAGGATTGGCTACTTGAAGAGTTGGCATGGCCTCAGGGCTTCTGTTCAAAACTATCTGGAGATGTTAAGGGATCAGTATGCTCCTAACAAACTACAATGACCACTTCTTAAGGTCAAATTGTTATTACCTCTAACAGGACTTCTAAATGTGTGAACTCCCAGAGACATAGGATGGGGTTTGTTTGTATAGACTAAATAAAAAGAAGAACAAAACCCAGTGTTCTCTTGTGATCAGTGTTCTGGTATTAAAAAGTTAAACATCTTTTTAGCCTGTCAGTCTATCTGTCAAATTTATGGTCAGTTTCTCTGCAGCCGGTGTTTATGAGGACTTCAGCTGCTGCACATGCTCTGCAGGATTCCTTGAGTGTTTATGACTAAAGCCTGAAATATGTGTGTGTTTCTCACTGCATACTATTAATGGTTCTATTATTATGAAGGGTGCAGCATTGGTAGGTATTCCTCTGTTTTTCCTTGCGCAGCTCTCCTACATACCTTCGCTACTCTGATGGGTGGTTCTAAGGACAGCCCTTGTTAGTACTGGCCCTCTGCCTGTACACATGATTTTATTGAATGTGAATGTCTATAAATATGACATGCTATTATTAAACTGACCCAGTCACAGGGTGGCCTCATCATCAGATAAGCCTGTGATAAAAGCTTCATACCTTGTTGTCACAATAAAGACAAGGACCTGATAAAAAAGAACTTGTTTACAATGTAATTGAGACAATCAGCCTTTGGTTTTCATATTAGCTCAATTTTAACCTGACATCTTTTTTCACCTGCAAATCACCAACATTTGTAAAGTAAATACTATATAAATACTATAAAATTAAGTTCAGTACAATGCCAAATGCAGGACACAGAGCTAGTGAGTGCAGTTCAAAATAGGTTTAATTCCAACAGAAATCCAAATCCAGGGAAACAGGGTGACACGACTAATAAGGCAGGCTGGCAGGACAATACACAGCAACATGGGACAGAGCGTCTACACACTACACATGACAATGACCAGACAGAGACTGAACAGAAACAGCAAACATTTAACACCAGGGACTAACGATCTGGGAGGGGATACATAGGTGAAAGACATGAGGGACTAATCAAGCATACAGACCTGTAGATTGACAGCAGGGGAAAACAGATACTAACAGATGCAAAACACAAGACACTAACTGGAACTCAAAGCACTTAGCAGAAAAGCAGGCAGAAGAGTTACTAGGGGAACAGACAGAAGCAAATCTAAATGCAGAAAATAAAACTAAACATCACAGAGCAAAACTAAACAGGACTGACAGGCAAACTGAATGATAAACTGAATAACGAGACCAGATTAAAGCAGAACAATCAAAAACAGAATAATGTCACTAAACAGATCAGACACGCCCACAGTGTGACATAATGACCACCAAATTTTACACAATGAAGCCTTAAATTTTAAAAGGTAGTAGCTCAAATTCTAATGCCCTTGTCTAGTTATAGATTATTTTCTTTGCAGTCATTTTATTATTATAACATGATTTTTTATTCCCATTAGTTTTAGAAGTCATGTTTTGGCAGTGAAATGCAGAAGATGTGTTTTGTCATGGAGAGGTGTTTGTGTGCTTTTGGTTGCATATGAAAAACAAGCCATGACACATTAGTGTCAGACCAGTTGTGACACTATCATCTAATCCCTCTGTTCTGCATTCTTCTCTCTCTCTCTCTCTCTCTCTCTTTTGTCCCTGCCAGGCTACTGTTTGGCCCTGTTCAGAACAACATCAAGACTTGAACAGAGGCTTTGTTTGATCTCTTCTTTGTGCTTCGTCATGTAACTGTATATGTATTGCCATTTTAACATGTCAGACTGTGTAATGTGATGCAGTTACTTCCAGGAGCCTTGTTGTCACTGTGAGGTTAACTGGCAACCAGCAGAAACAAGAAAGAGTCCAGAATCTAACTCTCCATAAAGCCCCAATGAGTAGTTTTATGGATTTAAAAAAGTAAAATATTTGTTACTTAGTGAGCTTTAGAGGTGCTGGTGGGCAGATCTTTTTACCTTTGGGCAGAGCCAGGTTAGCTGTTTTCCCCTGTTTCCTGTCTTTATGCAAAATTTAGCTCACTGGCTGCAGGTTGTATCTTCATATTTACTTATTTACCTTTTGATGTAACTCTTTGCAAGACAGCTTATAAGCGTATATCCTAAGATATTGAACCAGGCCACTACTTATTTAAATTTAAAGTTTAATGGCCAATGTGTTGAACAGAAGTTCACTTATCTCAGTGTAATGTTAGATTCCCATCTTTAATTAGAAAAACGACACATCAGAGAAAACAAAATTTGTTTTTATCAACTCAGTGAATTTGATGAGCTGCCCCTCAGGTGCTCAGTGACTAAATGAAACATGTTGGTTTTTTGTCCTTGTTGAGCTCATCACTCCTTAAAAGTTATGTTACAGGCACACAGTGAAGCACTTGGGAGCAGGGATTGTTTTGAAATGACACTCTTTTTGCTTTGCTTTTTGCTTTCAAAAGCTTGTGGGAGGCGCAGACATTTGAGGTTAAGGAGTCGGCTGCCAAACAAGCATTACATTTATAAGCTATATGTGACAAATAATGAAGTTGTAAAAAGTAGGATGTGAATGTGTTTATTTCATTAAAATGAGATTTTTAAATGGCAGATCACTTATTCAAGAATGAAAGATGGACAATAACAGACATGACTTCAGCTGCACATTTGACCTCTGATATTACCCGTATTTAAACAGACATGAATGCACTGTGGTGTCTGGGGCAGAAGCACTTCAATAGCACAATAATGGTTTTGGCCTGATGACAGACCACACGTTGTCTGTTGTGCATCTGTTACTTGACTCCCAGTCTTGTGTGTGTTGTTCACATACTGGAGTTTGTTTTCGAGCAACTGAATGAAACTCTCTCTCTTTCTCAGGGACACAAAAACATGTCTGAATGTACGAGCGGTGAGGTGTTGCAAATCACCCGTCACACACCCTCAGACCACATAATGTCTACACATAAACAAACCAAAGCCTTTGCATTCACACTCACAGTCTCCTGTAGGTATTGGCATGCACACACCCTAAAACACACAAACTCCCACTTCTCCCCCCGGCTGCCCACTGGGGCCCCTCACTGTAAACAGGCTGATATTTCGTTCAATGGCGACATCCTATTCTTTGAGACCGATGACACTGGTGACATGTAAAGCTCTCTGGCATTGTCCAGCTCTCTGGAGCTCTTTAGCAGTGCAATCACCAGTGAAATGGCAATGGGCCACTGGGATAAAAACACAAGTCAGCAACTGGTCAGCAAATCACAGTTGAAAGCCGTTAAATGGCGGATTTGCCCCGTAAGCAAGACAAGCTCGGGGGGCCTTTGTGGACCCTGTTTGTGAGTGCACAGAGTTGGAGACTTTTTTCATAACCACGTATATTGGTTAGATTCATGACTTGTAAAAAATACAGAAAATGAACAAGGCCTTTGAACTGTACACAGTACACATACACAGTATATCTCATCAGCAGAGTGGGGGATCTGGATTTCACTTGATAAAACCTTATTATTTGTAATTGATCTCAGACATGTTGTCAGACCCCACACCATCTCAGAGTTTTAAGGAGTAATCTATAATCTCAGACATTTTAAAAGTATATTTCAATTAAAATGAATTGTCTGGCTTGATTTATCTATCTGCATGACAATAATAATAGTAATTCATGTGACATGCTTTCAAGAGTGTTTACAAAAGATGGAAGAACAGTGACAGTGACAAAAGTATAATGGGGGTAAACATACAACTTTTCACATATGTGATAATGAAAATACACTTATCCATTTTTCAGTACAAAACTGAATCCTTTCAAAGAAATATAAGATAATCTGAAAACTCTATGTTTTGTTCCTATCAGTTGCTCTTTTTATTGTGGTTGCTAATAGTGTACCTGCTGCATAATGACATCATCTATGGGTTCAAATGGAGGGAACAGCATGACAAATATACAGTATGAGAGTGGTTAAAGTATGTCAAAGATTATAAAAAGTCCACAATTAAACACATTGCGACTTCTGTAGAAGGATGGTAACATGATGACAAAGAAATTCTCTCTCTCTGTGTCCATGTGTTTAAACTATGATGTAATGGACCCAGTCAAACAGGCAATATATCACCATGTGGCAACTCTACACGCCACCTAGTGGCACTTTAGGACACAGAGTTCTGTACTCATCTCCACAGCAGAATAAAACAAACACTGAAGTAAGCAGTTTTCGGCAGGGTTCTTGTGATTGTGACAGAGCTATGTAGCCAGACCCCCACACAGTATTTCCTTCAGATCTACACTTACAACAGCATGCACAATCGTGCCAAGTATGCTTATCAAAACCCTTAAAACAACAAGCGTCCTGAACACACACACACACACACACACACACACACACACACACACACACACACACATACTCATACACTGTGTATGTACTGTGAATATACAGTAATGTATGTGTACTGAAGAAAGTGATGTAGGAAGGATCCTGAGACATCATAAAGGTGCTCCATAGTTAGTAGTGGTTCCAAACCGTTTTGTCTTATGATGCCTTACAACTAAGACTTTGTCTCTTTGTGACCCAATTTAAAAGTTCCATAAGAGCTGCAAGTGCTCCCATCTGAAGAGACGTTTTTACTTCTAACTTCAGAGTGTTTCAGAGAGAATTTGAGGATTTGTTTAGAGACCCAAATACGTAACACTATCCAATTATATTACATAATTAGATAATTTTGAGTAACAGAAAATGTTCTTGTGAACCTCAGATTTATCTTGTGACTCCTTGAAGAACTTCTGACCCCAACGTTGGGAACCATTGATTTAAGGTTCACATTTGTACCAATTTAGCTCAAAACGTTCAGTAAGTTATGGTAGTTTAAAGCCAGTTAGCAGCAAGTGGGGTATAGTATTGTATGGTATCTATATTGCCTCATTTGACATTTTGGTTATTTGGTTATTTTGGTTATTAAAATATAAAATACATTTTTTGAGAAAAATGTGAAGGATTCCCATCTGTAGCAAGATTTCTCTGTGTGGTCTCTACATTGTTCTATGTGGTACGATTTAGTTAGTGTGTAAAAAAAATGGAATAGAAGTCACAAATACCATGATCTCAGAAAAAAATTACATCTCATAATGTTTCCATTAAAGGGCAGTAAATCAACTCATACTTTGAGTTGATTTACTCAATCAACTATAATGTTTGTGTGCTACTACTGCTAATAGCATTTGCAGTCCCTTTTAAGGCCAATACTCAATAAATTACTTATCACATACAGGTGCACCTCCTAAATGCAGGCCTTAAAATAAATACTAATAATTGATAAAAAGTTAGTTTTACTTACTCCCCTTCAACTACAAACTAACCATAACTCATATTTAGTGTTTGACTCAAGTCACTAAAACTCAACTCCCAGCATTATCTCACTAACACCAGTGTGACACACCAGTAGGCTATATTGTCAGTTTCTCCCAGTCAGAGTAGGCTGGGCTATCAGGACGGGGGAGTGCCAAATCTGAGACCTGCTGATAGTGCTTCTGGAAAAACTCACTTGCTCCCCAGAAAATTGAAACTACTTTATAATAACCAGATGATTGCATGGTATACACACTGCATTGATACGAATTACTTTCCCTCTCAATGCCTTATTGATGAGTATTTGTCCTATGGATGACAACATATTGGGATGAATATGAGCTCTAAAGTCACAAAGCTCTGTGCCTCCATCTAGTGGCCACATATACTAATGCGTAGCCCTACCTCTAAATGGAACGTGTCTTCACATCAGGAAACGTTTTTCTCGGTTCAGTCATCCCAAACTCCATTTTAAAACGTGGCAGTTTTCTGCTGCCTTATAATATAAAGAGAGATACAAAACATACAGTTATAATAAAGTTGTCTTAAGAGATTCAAGGAAACACGTGGTGGCAAAATGTAAAAACGGTTTATTTTTTACTTTCCTTTCAACTGTTCAACCTGAATGAAGTTTAGCTGTAAATTGATAAGCCCACCGGCTCTTTGCTTACAGGCCTTGACACGCTGGGCATGTCCTCGTGGGCGGTGTCAGTTTAAAAGCACACTGATTTCCCTGCATTCTGCATTATATTTTCTGGAGGGATCCTACAGCTGAGATTCTCCTCTCCTCTGACTGAACAACTAATATGGCATTAAATGGGAAAATCGCAGTAGTGACCGGAGCAGCGCGGGGAATAGGAAAAGCAATAACGGAGATACTCCTGCAAAACGGTGCTAAGGTAAAGTTTTGCCTCCACTATGGAGCACATCCCTACGGTTTGGGAGATGTAGTTGGTACATAGATGCCTTGTGCATCCTTGCAGCATGCAGGTAAATGATGCAAACAGCCAATGTACATTGACGAAAGGATCTGGACATCAGACCCAACAATGACCGACTTGATGTATTTGCAATCAATAGCGGAAAACTAACCTAGAAAAGTACTATATTTTCTCAAGTAGCCTACTGTATTTAAATTCACCTTTGAGGTGAGGTAGCCTACTTGCAGGTTATTGTATTGGAATATTAATATGTTATGCTATGCATGGGTGAATCTACCTCTAACCTACCTAAAGAATTTGCTCCACATTTTCTGCTATTCAGGTTTGTTTCACAACTATTTCTTCCTGCCATGCAGGATTTGATAAAGTCGGTACTCCTTCTTCAAAATATTTATGAATGTCTAAAGTGAATCTGTAGCTTCTCAGCATGGGACTTGCGCATTGTGTCCACTCCATTTAAATCAATAAAGGTAAATATAAAGTAAAATTAGATTGATTCCCAGAGGGAGAATTCATGTTGTTTCAGCAGCACAGAAAAAAGTACAGATAAATAGTGAGAAGTAAAAAAACAGACAAACAATGAACTAAACCCTATAAAATGACCATACAGTTGATTCAGCACTCCTCTGAAACAGTGTCAACAAAAGGTAGAATTTATTGCAGGACATTAGTTTTAGGTAGATGTACACAGTACACTGGCAACTGACTGTATATGTGATGGCTCTTGACCTGTACAGGTCGTTCTCCTGGATGTGAATGAAACTGAAGGAAAGAATTTAATGGAAGCCCTCGAGAAAGAGTACGGACGGGAGAGAACTTTGTTCCACATCTGTGATGTTGAATCAGAGGAGCAGATGAAAGGTAACACACACAATAAATAAAGTAGACAAGTGGGGGAGGTGCTGAGAAGCCTGGTAAGGCCTGAAGCTAATCAATCACACCAGAAATTTGCAGAGTTGTTTGTTAATGTTTTTTGCAATCAAGGTTCCGATAAGCAGATGTTTAAGGAAGCTCCCAAACTCAGGAAAATTTTGTCCTGTTAAGTTAACAGGGGTAAGCCAATCAGATGGCATTTAATCGCAGGTCAAGAACTGCTTTCTAGATTATTTTGAGGTATAGGGTTACATTAATTATTGTTTCAGTGTAAGGAAATTATTTGCTGAGAATTTAACTGGTTGTGTCAAAAACGTAGAGTTAAATAAGGGTTGTTGAGGATTATTTTGTGCGGTAAGGTGTTGTATGAAATAAAATAACTTGAGAAAATAGGGCAGAAATCACACAATGGAAACCTCTTAAAATGATGTTAGTGTACATTTATTTGGTGTATTTGTATATTTCACGTAAAATTTCTTTAGAACATCATCAGCACAAACTTTTGTGCATGTGTATATACTATACTGATGAAATTTACATCTATTATTGCTATCTTTTATTAAACTGTTAGTCTCAAATAACTTGAATATAACAGTCTACATTACATGAAGTTATTATAGTTAATAATAATAATTTAATTTCAGTGAATTACTGCTGAAAAGAATGATTATTTTCATTATTGATAGGCCTATAAATTATTTTCTCTTTTTAATGATTTATTTATAAACAAATTCTATTATTGAAAATTACTTGAATGGATTTTTAATATTGTTGCTGAATTTTCACATGATGACTAACTGATTAACTGATTTATCATTGCAGCTCTACAGTAAATGATGACACACTGAAAAAGGTTCTGCAACTGTCTAAGTAGGCTATATAAGGGATCTTGATTATGAAAAGTTAACCACTACCTGTTTTTTCTTCTCTCAAGCTGCCTTTCAGAAAACTGCAGAAACCTTTGGAGGAATAGACATCCTGTGCAACAATGCCGGCATCTTGAATGAGACTGCGTGGGAGAAAACTGTCTCCATAAACCTTGTAAGAAGTAGAAAGAGTAACAAACTACCTCTGGTTGGGATTATGATCATTACTTGTACTCGGCTGCACCACTCCCACAAGGGAAACTACACCACAACACACATGAATTACATCTTCCAACACTGCAAGCAAGAACATTTTCATTTCTTTCTTTTTCAGTGGTTAGGGTAAAGAAATTATTTGGCAATGTGACTCATGTGATTTTTGCATTCAGCTTCCTCTGTTTCAACATTTGGTACTCAAAGGACGGCCTGCAGCAGCCGCCAACGTGTTTATGGACAGAAAAAGAGATTTCTGCTGACAACACCAAAAACGTCTATTAACCATTCTGTGTTGTAGATGGGGGTTATCAGGGGGACTTACCTGGCTCTGGAGCACATGAACAAGTTGAGTGGAGGTCGGGGAGGGGTCATCGTCAACACTGCATCCATGGCAGGTAAAGCCCACCATGTACTACATTGTTTTTCCAAATAAAAGATATCCGCATTATTTGAATGCATTTTTTTTCTTCTGCACATTTTAAAGGTCCCATATTACGCTTATTTGCAAGCTCCATACTTTTATTTTGAGTATCTACAAGAAAATGTTTCCACATTATTTTTCTCATACTGAGAACTTTTTCTCCATGAGTCCAAGTGTGTAGCTAGGTCTGGCTATGCAACACTAGGCCTCACTGATTATAGTACAAAAACACCACTTTATAACTTTATTCACTGATTTTGGGGAAACTATCTTATTTTATGAAGAAAATATTTTCTGGTTTTCCCTCTGAGGCTGCTCTGCCTCAACTTTCTTGGATTTACAGAGTTTCCTGATGGACAGATAGCGTGATTTATTCTTCTGCGTCAGGTCTACGCCGTAGCTTATGATGTAAGCTACACACGTCTCCATGCATTTCTATTTGTGCGTTGGTGTCTGCATCATTCTGCAATTACACTGCCAACCACTAGTTGGCAGTAGCGCTACAAAGTCCACTGTGCAGACTTTTGCCAGCCGAGCAGGCTAACTTCCAGTTTAGCCCTTCGCTAACTTGAATGGGGGTAAAATTAAATACATGTGGCTGGTATAGACTTTTCAAATGTTATCAACCGGATGGATCACGATTCTGGATTCTGATTTGGCTTGGGTTGTGACGCTCAAATATATTAATTCATCGTATTACAAATGCTGGATTGGCCGCTGGTAATATTTACTTCAAAGCACGGAGCACTTCCTGTCGTCTTGGAGGCATTGCAAGGGTATACAGCCGACCAATCACAGTTCTTGCCGTCCGCGTCGTGAGTAGGCTACGGTGTCAATTTGACGAAGGAGTATATATCAAGCTTTACTTCTTGTTAGCAGTTACTTCAGCCACTAACTAATACTACAGTTAGCAGTATTTAGCGGTTAGCAACAAGGAAAGTGCTGCTGGAGGACATTAAAAGGAAAACTAGAAAATATTAAACTTTCCTTCATAACAATAAAAGCACTTTCTGCGAGACACAGTGAACAACCTCCACCTCTAGCTCAGCGATGAAATGACCGATTGGTGTTGTGTTGGAAAAACAGGTTGGACAGTGGGGGCAAAGCGTAATATTCAGTATGTGTTCAGTAGGTTCACAGACCAGACTTTGATAAAATCAAACAAAGCCTCAATGGATGCCACCACATTTAATAAATAAACAGTATTTGGATGGTTGTACAGTTAGTTCTAATTATGATTTTAATAATCTATGCCCATGTTTGAAGAAACCAAGAAAATGATTTTATTGACACATGAACTTCACCATACTTTTTATCCAGTTATGTGAAACACAGTCATGCCATGTTTATGTCTATATTATTAGGTGTGTTTGCAGGTAAATCCTCAGAAATTATAAAAAAAATTAAAAGATGGGGAAAAAACCACACAAAGCCAATAACCTAAATAAACAACATCTAAGAGGAACCACTAGTAAGATTTAAACACGTCACCTTCACAGCACACCACTGGGAAATGCCACAAGGTCTCATCATTGTAAATAAGAGACAATGTAGACACACTTTGTGCATCTATGTTTTGACTCAAAATAACTAAAAATGTGTAAGGTAATATTGACTTTTTTAACCTATATCCTACAGGTGTCAGTCCTATATTAACCTGTCCTGTCTACACGGCCACCAAGCACGGAGTGGTCGGCTTCACTCGAGCCATGGCGGTAAAGAAGGTTTTGTGATAAAAGCCAGAGAGCTGAAGAAACTAGTTTAGTGAAATAAAAGCACTATTATCCAGTAATTAAAGAGTTAAACAAAACGTTTTCCTTTTAGTGCTTGTATTATACATTGTAACTGCGAACAGTTGAAGCCTAATTGTGTGTATGTGTGTATCTGTTACTAGGCTGCCTCTACTGCATCAGGCTACGGTATACGGGTCAACACACTTTGCCCAGGTTGTGTCCAAACTGACCTCCTCTCTTCCATTCCTGCCAGTCTGGGGCCCTACTCCCACCTGACTGATGAAACCCAACAGTTACTAGAAAAGCATGGGACGTTAGCGTGAGTCTAACTCTTACAATTTTTGTTTGTTTGTTCTGCAGCAGGTTAACCCTTGGTGCTGACCATCGTTTTTAGACCCTTTGATGACATCACGTCGAAGTACATTATCATGACACGTATGATACTGTGTACATGCATTTTCAGTGAGGTCACTACACCTTTTTATTTCAGTGTGTCTGAAGTAGCAGCCTGCCTCCTCGAGCTGGTGACAGATGAGACGAAGAACGGAGAGGCCCTCATTGTGTTGCCAAAAGGAAGGAAATACATGACTTTTCCTTCTTTTATCCAGTAGCTCTTCATAATGACAAACCACAACACCATCATACAGAACCAACCAATGTTGAGTTAAGGATTCTGGTATTGTTTTGGTTCCATGTCTTGTGTTCTACTGTTTTGCCCAAGTTTGATCTGTGTTCTGTTGATCCTGTTTTAAGTCTGTTTTTGGTTCTGCGTTTCTCTGTGTAGCCTTGTTTGTTATTTTATTCATTCACATGTTTTAGTTTACTTAGTATTTGTCTTGTCTCTTATCTTAGTTCTTAGTCCTGCGCTTTAGTTCTTTGCCTTAGTTCTTAGTCCTGTGCCTTAGTTCATGTCCTAGTGTTACTCCTGGAGCCTGTACCACAAAGCGAGTTCAACATACCCAGGATATTTTACAGTTATCTGGCTTAACTAACCCTAACAATCGTGGTTGGGATAAGCGGTACCATGAAGCTGTTAAATCAACTCGGTAACTCAACCCAAGGTTTCCCAATCCAGCTGTGAGCGCGTTCACATAAAAGAGGCGGTGTTGGAAGCAGATGAGGCATAGTCTATAATAATGTGTTGATTTGATGTGTTCTTATGAACTGTATGAAAATATCAGCCTTATTCTTTCAATAAATCAATAGCCCACATTCATATTAAAATTTAGTATTTCAATATCCCTACCAAACTGCTCATAATATTAGCCTAACATAAGACAAATGAAACCCATTTGTTTTAATGGCTGCGACAGGCTGTGTGAAACGGACTGGGAGCAAATATTAAACACATTTCAAAGCAGTAAGTAGGCTCAGCCTACTGTAAAAACATGAAGGCAACAATAGCCTAAGAATTTTAATCAGTCTCTGTAGGATGATCGCTTTAGCCTACAAGAGCTTCTCTATATCACCGCAGCAAACATTAAGCAGCCTATAGGCTAAAACAGTCTGTGGGATTTCCTGCAGATGGTGATCTCATTTTCTAAGAGAGCTGATTGGTCAGTAGGCGGCATTTTCATAGAGTTGATCTCTTATCTGGAACATAACCTGCTCCGAAGCAGGTTAGCCGTTCACCATAAGTTACCATGGCGATCTACCCTGGTATGAAGTGACCCAGGGTTAACCCTGAAGTTACCTGGATAAGCTCAAATCCTGCTTCGTGGGACAGGCCCCTGGTCTGTGTACTTCGGTGTTTGTTATTATTTTGGTCTTGTCTACTGTTTCATCCTAGTCTGTCTGTTGTTAGTTTCTGTCTGCTACCCCTGATCACTGTGCCCTGTCTATTCTCTCCTTGTATGTGTGTCTAAGTCCTATGTCTCCATGTTTGTGTAGTCTTGTTTCCTGTTTGGTACGGTCTCTCCCTGCTGTGGTTTTGTTCTGTCATGCTGTTGTTCCCCGTTTTCTGCTTTGGTAACTCTGTCCTTGTGTGCTCCCATGTGCTTTACTTCCTGTTTTATATTGTGGTGTTCAGTTCTCATTTGTCCTTGTCTAGCTTTGTTTCTTGTTGTTTGATTACCTGATCTTACCCTACCTTACCTGTGTTTCAGCTGTGCTTATCTCCCTGCTCGTTTGCCTGTGTACCAGTTCTGTTGAGTCTTTGTGATATCCTTAAGTCTTATGTTGAGTGTTCAGCCGTGCCTTGTTCTCTGTGTTTCCTGGATTTATCTAGTGGATTACTACTTTGTTCTCTATTTTGAATTACCCTATTTCATTGGACTTTCGTGTGGATACCTTTGTTTGGACTTTTTGCCTGCTGTGCTCCTGAGTAAGCCTGTTTTAAGTTGCTTAATAAATCTTTTGTTTGAACTGCATCCTCTCGCTTTTTGGTCTGCAATTGGGTCTACCTCAGCTCTCTGACTGCAGTCAGCCATTTACCATGACAACCAAATCTTGTCTCTCAGTGTGGTAATGTGCAAAATAAGATTTAGGGGGATATGGTCAATAATATTGGCAGAAACTGAATAAAATATTCATAAGTATGTTTTCGATACTGTATAAATGAAGTGGACATCGCCACTGTGACATCACCCATTGGTTTGTGGATGACCATTTTGAAGCTTCAAGTTTGGCATATTGGCTGTCGCCATCTTGTTTCTTTGGAAACAGAAGAGACCATATTTGGTCGAGACAGTGGTGCCGGGGGTATACACATTGCTACACCTTTCAAGACACCGTAGTAGTAACTTGTCAATCAGAAGGTAGGCACCCCTAAAGCAAACCCTGCTTTATTGTCTATTTTCTGCCAAATGGGGCTGTAATTTACTAATGGAACATTATGCTGTATTGAAGAAGACTGGAAACTAATGATTGAGAACATAAACTCATTAGGAAAGTGTTAACTGAGGTAATTAATCAAGTGGGAAGTAGGGTAATTTTGTCATTAACTACAAGCAATCAGACTATGTTTTGCGTCACCCCTTGCTGGTCATTAGAAAGAATACATGTTAAAGGCATTTCTGCATTGGCTTCAGTTTTAGACCCGGAGTTCCCACTTGATAATCACCTGAAAATAATAATCAGAATCAGTCCTTTTTTATATATATATATATATATATATATATATATATATATATATATATATATATATATATATGAGAGAGAGAGAGAGAGAGAGAGAGAGAGAGAGAGAGAGAGAGAGAGAGAGAGAGAGAGAGAGAGAGAGAGAGAGAGAGAGAGAGAGAGAGAGAGAGAGAGAGAGAGAGAGAGAGAGAGAGAGAGAGAGAGAGAGAGAGAGAGAGAGAGAGAGAGAGAGAGAGAGAGAGAGAGAGAGAGAGAGAGAGAGAGAGAGAGAGAGGAAAAACTTTTGTAGGTGTTAAGAAATTAACCAAATAAAATATTTCAATTCAATTTTATTAATATAGCGACAAATCACATCAAGTTATCTCACAGCGCTTTTCATAAAAGAGCAGGTCTAGACCGTACATTGCCGCAGTCTAGGCCTTTAGCAGCAGAACTAAGGGATGGTTCAGGACTCACCTGAGCCAGCCTCACTATAAGCTTTATCAAAGATCAAAGAGGAAAGAGGAAAGTCTTACCGAAGCCTACTCCAGGGTTGACTTCGTGCGACAGTAAGCATGATGGGTATGCATTCAGTAAAGGCAATGACTATGCATTTTCTTTCTGACCATTTGATAAACAAAACATATACCAGTAAATAGAAAGTATAATGTAAGTATAATATATTTACATGTTAACATTTTATTTGGATAATCTGCGTACAGATAGTTTATTAGTAGAGATTTAACTATGTCACAAATAAAACCATTTTCTGATATTAGCCTACACCACTGTGGTTAAGCTTTGATTAGTGCTAATGTTTGTGTATTCATTATAATTTCAGATAGCCTAATAGTACAGGCTACTATTAGCTTCCATTCGTAGCCTAATATTAATTCCAGTTGGACAGAACAGCAGTTTCTGTGGGTTGTTTTCAGTCACTAAATTATTGTGCTCTACATGGTGGTTTGTTTATGAAAATTAACTTGTCAAAAATAAAAGCTGTGCATACAGAATGACGAGTTAAACATTTCAAACATTGCTGTAGTGCAAATGCGGATACAGCCTCGGAGTCGATATTGCAAGTAACACAAAAATTGCTAGCAATATCGCCTGAAGGACTTGTTTTCGTCCTTGGTGATTTTAACCATTGCTCGCTGAAAAAGTGTCTGAGGGACTTTTATCAATATGTTACGTGCCCGACCAGACAAAACAAGACACTGGACCTGTGTTACGGTTCTGTTAAAGTTGCATACAAAGCTCATCCTCTTCCCCCGCTGGGCGGGGCTGACCACAACTGCGTCCAGCTCATCCCATCGTACCGCACGGCCTTAACTCGCACCAAACGTGTTAAGAACTGGACTGAGGATGCCTTCCTGAGCCTACAGTGCTGTTTCGATTGCACCGACTGGGGTCGGTTTAAGGAGTCCTGTACCAACATCAGTGATCTTACAGATGTTGTCAGCTGTTATGCTTCCTACTGTGTTGACAATGTAATTCCTGATAAGATTGTACAGGTGACTTGGAAGAAATCTACGTTCAGCTTGGGATGGCATGAAGACTGCTATTGGAACCAGGAGAGAAAAGAACGTTAAAGTTGTGTTGAAGGGCTTCAGTTGTGACAGTCAGCTTGCAACAGAGTTAAACAAGTTTTATTTGAGGTTTGATACCTCTAATTCTAGGAATGTCATTCTAGAACAGAAATCCCACCTATCTGGAAATTGCCCTGTGCCTTTCTTTGATGAACATGATGTGGTCAATATGTTTAAACACTCTAGAGCTAGAAAAAGCCCCAGGCCTGGCAACATAGGCAGTCGTCTGCTCATCTCTTGTGCAGAGCAATTAGGCCCAATTTTTCATTATATTTTCCAGTTGTCTCTAGAACAACAGAGAGTGCCGAACATCTGGAAACAGTCTACAGTCATTCCAGTGGCCAAACATAGTCATCCCAAAGTATTAAATGACTTTAGGCCGGTTGCCCTTACCTCCTTAGTTACGAAGTGCTTCAAAAAACTGGTTAAAAAAGTTGTCCTCACAAAAATGGAGAATCTTCTTGACCCACTACAGTTTGCTTACAGGGCTAAGCGTGGGGTAGATGATGCCACTGCTACTCTGTTAAATTTGTTATTCAAACACTTCAAAGGTAGTAAAACACATGCAAGGATTTTATTTGTTGATTTTTCATCTCCTTTTAATACAATCCAACCGCACATTTTATTATAGTGGGTTGGATTCTTGACTCAGAGAGTTAGGGTGAATGGTTGCTTGTCGGAGGAGCTGTCATCATCATATTCTTTATACTGATGATTGCCGCAGCCAGTATGAAAATAGACACATTTTAAAATTTGCAGATGATTCTGCTATTGTCAGTCTCCTCTCTTCCACGCAAAGTGATCATGGTCCTGTTGTTGATGATTTTGTGCTCTGGTGTGATAGGGCATTCCTTCAATTAAATGTAGAAAAGACAAAGGACATGCTGATTGATTTTAGGCGTAAGTCATCAACTCCTCAGAACACTACCATCAATGGGCAGATGGTGGGATTCATAGAAACATATAAGTATCTTGGCAGTTTGATCGACAATAAGTTGAATTTTAATTCCAACACTGAGATGCTCTGCAAAAAAGGCCAGCAAGGACTGTTTTGCCTTCACAAACCGTCAAAGTTTCATGTCGAAGTCCCTCATGGCCCTTTTTTATAAATCATACATTGAGTCTGTATTAACATTCTCGGTAATTTGCTGCTATAGTAATCTCACTGTTAAGGCCAAAACGGCTCTTTCCAATATAAAAACTCAAAAACAACATAATGTTTGCAGAGATTTTTTATTTTTTACATTTTGCAAGCTTGCAAATCTTAGTTTTCGATCTCGCAAACATTTTTTTGTAAGATTTTGAGTTTTCAAACACTTAGTTTCAACCTTTCAGAACTTTATTTTCAGTTTTGTTGGTCGCTGCCACACCGACCACTGGTCGCTACCACTAGGGGCGCTAAAGATACTGGTCGCTGCCACACAGACCACTGGTCGCTGCCACTAGTGGCGCTAAAGATAGTGGTCGCTGCCCCACGAACCACTGGTTGCTGCATTGCTGCCAGGCTGTCACTACCACAGTCTCTAAGGGAAGGCTAATTCTAGTTTCATGTTCACTGTTCACGGCCTTAACCTGTACAGTAGAAAATTGCTTTGACCTATTCCTCTCTATTAGACAAAAAAAAATTGTATCATCTGCCAGTTGAGATAATTTAAAATGATCTAAGGTCACTTTAGGTCTACTTTGGAACCATAGACTGTATAAAAACTTGAAACTGACCTTTTTTAATACAGTCACAGTTTGTGTGACAAGGAACAGAAAGGAGCCTTCCCTTAGAGACTGTGGTAGTGACCAGTGGTCGGTGTGGCAGCGACCAGACCACATAATTGGCTACAACCCCTGTTGAAACAAACTCTAGTGCCATTCATCCGAACTAAATGAGGCAGGTGTGAAGGGCAGACGAGAGAACCGGTGCAGGTACGCCAAAGAGTAAAACCTAAAAGTGACAGTACCGGTGAATACCAGCACATTCAAGCATAAACACCTTTAATGTTGTGAGAAATAACAGGAATTCGTAAGGGGCCTTTCAGACGCAGTTAACCATACGGTCTATGAGTTAAACCAACGCAGCAGCTGGTTTATAAATCCAGCGCCAGCTGCATGTGTAAAATACAGCGGCTGTGGATGAGAGGAGAGGTGACTGCTGGAACAAAAGACGTCGTATTTAAGTTTATGTTCTGCTTGTTCAACAGTTGTTTGATAAATGGCTATTAAAACACATTCGCAGAGAATTTAAAGGTTTTATTTTTCAATTCTGATCCTTTGGTGCTCGCTAAAACCTCTGGGAGGCGCCAAAAATTTCTCTATGCAGGAAAAACCCTGTACTCTTTAAATGTCGAGATGGTGTCCTGAACCCAAACTGGAACCTGGTTCCACAAGAGAGGAGCTTGATAACTTAATATTTGCACCAAACAACTTCCCACCGGCCTTGCTGGCAAACTTCCAGTTTAGCATTCCACTAACATGAATAAGGACACAGTTCTTCTAGACTTTTTATTTGTTTTCGGACCAAATGGATCAGATTCTGAGTCATTTCGCGGGGTTGTGACTTTAAAAAAAATGGATCCACCCTAACAGCCACTTTCACAATGCAAGTCTTGTGTAGGCCAGTGTGCATCACGTGACGGACTCAGAAGTTGTAATTACACACGCAGATGCCCAGTGGGCACTATGATGCTGAAATGACTTAACTTATTTATATAAATGTTTTAAAAAATGGGCCA